ACACAAATGCATTAAAATAAAATTAGAAAGATATTTATTTGAATTTGGATGATTTTTTTATAATAACAATTTGGCAAATCAAAACAATTAAAATAAATAAAGGGTGAATGTAAAGGGTGTCGTAAGGGGATGTCGGTGGCGAGAGCGACATGTTGAGATGTTGAGTGAAAATAAGGAAAATGGATAAAAATGATTGGAGTCGTCACCTAATATTACGGTTATTAGAAAACTCTATGACTAATCCGTTTAGAGTTCGGATAAGGGGTTTATTATGTATAGGAAAGATTAAAAATCACTTTATCCTGTCTTGCCTAAGGCAAGTCGCATTGCATACAACATTGATTTGATCTTTAATTTTTTAATGATGAAAGACTATACCTATTTTCTAAGTATTTGCCCCCATCGATCGAGTGATTTGGGATTTGGCCGGTTAGAGATCTCATCCTCACTCTGTAACCCCCGTAAAAACCTTTATCCGTAACGCGACGTGTATTAGAATAATTCTATATATATGTATATTAAAAGTAAGTGTAATTATCATTTCATCATGAGAAATTAATGCTTGAAATATGTGATTTATGTTAAATTAAAGTTTTGTGCTTAACATTAATGGTTTAATTATTAAAGAAATTAAATATGCAAAATCGAGTGTTTTAAGGACTATATTCTACCCGAGTTTTGTGTGAATTATTTGAGGCCTTTAGAGTAATTTTTTGGTCAACCTTAAAGAATGAAAGTTGTTCATCTATGTGTTTAATAGGCCTGTATAAAAGTTTATAATATATGGACCTATACATTAAGAGTTATACCAATTATAGTGAGGGTTGTTTCGAAATGCATTCTGCTGGAATTTTAGGAGAAGAATCCGGCCGAATCTTGTGAGATTTATTTGATACTTTTAGATTAATTTTTGAGAAAAACGTAAAGACTAAAAGTTGTTTTTCTATGTGTGTACTAGCTCTTTATAAAATTTCATAAATTTTGGATACCTATAGAAAGCGTTATGCACATTTTAGTATAGATGAGTTAGAAGGAAACACTCGCTGGAATTTTGGGGGGAAAAAAATTCTGAATTTTTAAAAATGAAAATTTTCGAATTTTTATGAAAGAAAGCAGTTTTAGTTACTTGAATTAAGTTAATTAATGATTTTAACTAGTCTAAATTTTATAGAGACACCTAAGCAAATGCAATAAATGAATTTAATGCCAACTCACCCATTATGGATTCCAAAGGAGCCAACTTTCCTCATGACTCACCCATAACCTTTACACCTTATCCTATTAATTTCTAACACTTGTAGCTGAATGAAAGTAAATATATATATGTATAGCAAGTGTTAAAATAGGAGAAACACTTTAGTAAACCGTAGGTACCAGAAATTGAGAGAGAAAAGGCAAGAAAGAAAATAGAGGAAGAAAAACGTGAGGAGAGAAAGGAAAGGAAAGAAAAAGAGGAAGGGAAAAAGGAAAGAAAAAGAGCTAGGAAAACTATATTCAAACCTAAAAGAGGTAAGTAGGTTTCATTTTCTTGTTTGATTAATGTCTTAAATTATTTTTTTTAAAGTTATTTTGTTAGTGTTTATTTCATAGGTTGTAATAATCTTCATTGGTTATATGCTTGATGCTTGGGATAAATCTATGTATGGATGCCTTTTTGTGATGATTTATGATGTTATAATTTTTTTAAAAATGTCCAAGTATGTGTTGATGGGTTGGATTGAACTTGGACTAAATTTAAGTGAACTAAACCATGTTTAAAATTGGCTTGGAATGAACTAATAAATTAGTGTTAATAAGGAGTAAACTTTGTCCGAATTTTGGGGTGTCTATTCAAGGATTTTAGATCGATTTCTAGGTGAAACTTAAAGCATAAAATTTGTTCATCTATATTTCAACTAACTTCTTTTAAAATTTCTTGGTCATTGGATTAGTGTACAAAGAGTTACACCCGATTTAGTATGGATAGCTCTAGATAAACTACTATTAGGCAGATTGCTCCCTAAGTTTCAAAAATTTGTAATTAATTGTGTACTTGGTATTTAGACCTACTTTTTGGATATGTTATAAATAAATATGTCTAGTATCTAAAATAAAATGAGTAAGATTTAATTATGTTCTAAAATTAGAAAATTATTTACTCAATTAGGAGTTGCCTGGTAATAAACCCTAAAACAAAAAAAATTAGACTTTGACAAAATTAATAGATTTGGAATAAACTAAATGAGCTTGGACTAAATAAAATGGAATTAAATAGAGTCAATGGACCTAGGATAAAATTAATGGGCTTGGATTAAATTAAATGGACTTGGACCTTCTTTTAAATATTAATGAACCTAATGAACAATATTAATGAGCGGAGATTGTGTTCCCACTTGTGGGTATCATGATTGGTATGTGAGCAATGGATAAATTCCGAGTGTGAGTTGGACCGTGAGTATGGCATGAGAATGAAGGGTTGGTACCCGAATTTGGTTGAATGTGATTAAATATGTCATCACGTGCATCATGTGCATAGTGGGTGGTTTAAGACAAGTCAATTGATTGAGAAACGGTTTATACATCTAGGTTTGATAACCTAATTGGAATAAGTGGGTATTAGTAGTCCAAGTACTCTAGGTCGTGTGCCTGTACTATTAGACGATGGATTTCCGCTAATAGTAGTTACAACGAGGGATAATTCCGTTGTAGCGAGAAGATGATCCGAGGATCATCTCGGATGAAATCAAGTTGTGTGCTTGCACCGTTAGACGATGGATTCCCACTAACGGTAGTTACAACGAGGGATAATTCCGTTGTAGCAGAAGGTGATCCGCGGACCACCCGGATGATAAATAGAGTAGACTGGCTAATACCTAGGGTATCCGAGATTAAAATTTATGAGTATGGTGGGAAGTCAAAACAACATTGCATATCACATGCATCACCCCGCTTACCGAGCTTCGGCTCACCATGTTGTTATTTTTTTATGTCTTGACAAAAAAAGGACAAGTTGGTACGGATGCAGTGGCTCCTCCTAATCGGCTCATGTGAGGCACCATATATTAGTTTTTATTTTGTCCGTAATTTGGGGTATGGAGTTCGTGAGAAATTGAATATTGCCTATAATGTTTTATTAATGTATTTAATTATGTTATGTAAATTTTATCTTAAGGAGTTATATACGTAATGTACTCGTTAAAGTCCTAAGAATATCATAAGAAAACTACTTAGAGTTTAGGGTATGTCGATGTAACGCGCTTCGTCCAGTACCCTACTTGGGTAGTAGAAATACGACTGGGCGGGGGCGTTACACACTCGTAATAAATGGCTAAAAAATAAAAGGCATGATGAATGTAATGATGTGTGGTTAATGCGACCTAAATGGCATGCGTGAAAATGAGGCTTAACAATAAGCAAAGAGGCGAGCATACAAAATAGACGAATTGATAAAATAGAAAAATATGCAAAATGGAAGCAACTAACGACAAAATAGGCAAAAATGACGAGATAAGAAAAATTGATAAAATCAGCAAATTGACAAAATCGATAAATCCACAAATAGAAAAATAGGCAAAATCGACAAAATCGACAACATCGATAAATTGACAAATAGGCAAATAGACAATTTACCAAAATCGATAAATAGGCAAATCAACAAAATCTACAAAATTGACAAATAAGTAGTTAGGCAAAATCGACGAAATCGATAAATTGGTAAATAGAAAAATAGGAAAAAAGGTAAAATATGTAAAAATTGACAAATAGGTAAAATCGATAAATTGACAAATAGGCAAAATCGATAAATTGACAAATAAGCAAAATAGGCTAAATCAGCAAATTGGTAAAATCAATAAATAGGTTACAAAAAAAAAGTAAAAATGACAAAATTAGCAAAATTAGCAACAACAAAGTTGAAAAAAATCATTAAAGTTAACGAAAATGATCCGAAAACAAGATTAAGACAGATTGGACTTCAAAAGTTGTGATTTTCATACGAAATTGACAAAATCATTAGAATTGACAATAATGAACCAAAAACAAAATTCAAATTGACAAACCTCGAATATCATGATTTTTAAGTGAAATCAACACAACATCAACTTAATTCTCACAATGTGTGGTAAGGATCCGAAATGAAGCTCGGACCCATACGGCTAAGAAGTCATATTTTTTTAAGACAAAGCAATATAATATTAAGTAACCATTGTAATGTACAAAAATGATCCTAAAACGAAATTCAAACCGACGAAACTTGAGAATCACATTTTTAACAAATTGGCAACAACGTGAAAATGAATCGATATTTAACAAAAATGACCCAAACAACAAACTTTAAACTGGCATGATTTGAAATGGTATTTTTTTTTATGTAAATTTATCATGTGAATGATTTGACATTACCATCAACAAAAATAGGCTAAGAATAAGGTTTGAATCGACTCAAAGAAAAAATCAAATATTTTAAGACAAATTGGCACAATTAATCAACTATCATAATTGATCATAAGTAATCTTAAATCGAGATTCGGACCAGCGCATCTTTAAAAAATTACACAAACAATAAAAAATATTTGAATACATCGGTAAGCATAAACGTCAACTAAACCATATAAAAATAAAATAAAGTAGAATAACAAGTAAAAATAAATTACTATAATAAAGGCAGAATTTGGTTATTGAATTCGAAGTCGGTTCTAACCCTTTTCAATCTCGATGAAGACCGATATTTAGTCAACCGAGAAAGAGAGATGGTTGTCTATTATTATATCTAGATCCGAGTATGAGATGGGATGGCTAATAGTGATCGGATCTAATGATGGTGGCATTGAACGAGAGGTTGATGGCGATGAAAGGCTAGGTTGAAAGGCTATAAAACGACTAGACAACCGGGAGTGGCAACTATTAGATCCGAAGCAGCTGGTGGTCGACGTTAGGTGGAAATTAGATCTAGAATGGCTTCGGCATGAGAGGTAGCGAAAGTCGTCAAGACCGTTGGATCGGAGGTAGGGGGTCGTTAGACGATGGGAGATCGACCACTAAACATCGATGACATTGGCTTCGATGGCAATCACTCGATGATTGGAACGAGCTATCGGTGGCATGGACCGTTACGGATCGATGTAGAAGAGCCGTTTATGACCAATAAAGAGGAAGATAATCGATTAGAGTTTATAAACAAAGAAAGAGAGCTCGGACGACGATCCTTGGAAAGAGAGTGGCTATCCGGAATTCAAGCTTAATGGGTGAAAGTGGCAAGCATTTTTTTGAGAAAATTAGGTTTTTATACTAGGTTTTTAGGGTTTTTTTTATACAACTTGGTTTGGTACCTCATCTTGCTTTCCTACTTTATTTTGGTCTTTTACTCTCTAATTTTTAATTGCATCCGTCAATTGTTTTTTCAATCCTTTTTCTTTCTTTTTTATCTTTTTTTTTAATTTTTGAAAAACTTTTAGGTGCTAATGGTTACCCTCTCTTTACAATGCTTACGATGTGGAGCCATTAAGAAACTAACTTTTCTTTGGCTTCGCATAGTAAGCTTATGAAGAAAATCATAAAAAATGGCAAACAAACAAAACCCGACAAATAAATCAATTGACAATGTTGAATGGTGGTTAGCTTTCTTTTAATCACTAGTCAATTATGGAGGACTTTCTTCAAAACACAAGCTACCACGAATAACCATCCTCATGGTCAAGAAGGTGACCTTTCATTGGCAATGCATAAGAACATAAGTGACTTACCTTTTTGTCATCGAGGAAACATAAATTATCACTACAAAAACATATACTTCCCTCTTTGTTGCAATCCATCCTCGTTTGAATAGGATCATAGTTTTTAGGTCGGCTACTCTTATTAATTTATATCTCTTTAAACACATGTCTTATTATTACATCCTTTTTTGTTTAAATAAATTTCGACATGGCTATCATTCATGTCATCTAAATTGCACTTATTCTTATGATTAGGCCAAGAGTTGTTCATTGTTTCATCCTCTTAGAGTATTGCCCCTAAGTGTTTGGGCTTTTGCCACCACATATCAAGGAATCGACCTAAAAATCATTGAGATGGTTTTTCATCATTGCCATCCTTAATTCATCAAGAAGGATCTTATACCAAGTTTCACATTGAATGCCTTCTTGTCTACCAAGTCCGAGCGAACTCTTATCATCTTATCATTTATCGGTTTGATTTATAATTACATTTCATAAATAATGTCAATTACAAGATCGTGCATTTAATAAAAGAAAAGGCTTTGTAGGGATCGATCACAGTTGTGGGAACCGAGCTATTTTAAAAGGTAAAAATGGATAAATCATGTTATATTGGGCAAAACAAGAATAAGATAAGCAAAGTTTAAATGATTGCTCTAATGAATTTTGGCCATAACTCAAATGATTTCTTCGTTGCTTTGAATAAAAGTGAAGTCAACTTGATTGGGTTTTGATTTTTTTCATTTCATTTTCTAGAAGACTCAACTTTTGGTTGTTTTGAATTCCATAAATTAAGCCATATATTCAAATAATTTACATCCAAGCAAATTGAATTATTCAAAAGAAATCATAGAGATGTTTATAAGAATGTAATCTCATTTAGGAAAATATTCCATTCTTTTGGTCAAAAGCCAAATCACATCATGCAAATGTCGTGATGCGATCCTCAAGGTGATCCTTTTTAAGCTAAGTGAATGAAATGTATTCAGATCACATTAAAGGTTTGGAAAGAAATCATTTAAAAAAAACAAGTGTCAAATGTTGGCTTAAAGGAAGTGAGATGCTCGAATGAATGTCATGAGCTCAAAAGTTGATCATGAAATGTAGGCTAAAATGATTTTTTTTTTTTTTTTGACTTGGAGGCTTTTCAATTAGGCTCAAATGGTTTCCTAGTCTAATAGGCTCAAATGGATAGTTTTTTTTTCTGAAAATATCTTGATTTTATTTGTTCCTTTCTCCTAAGTATTTAATGAAAAACTAATAATCCAATACCATCAATGATGATTTGTGATGCACGAGCAAATTTGTTTTTCTTGAAGTTAAAAACTTATTAATACAAAACGAGTCATCCTCGATCGGAAAAGGCTTTTGAATACATGTAATGTTGGCTAAGGCTTTAGCTCATGAACAAAACGATATAAAAAGGCTATAAAGGTGTTTAAGGGTATAAAGACTCAAGATCACATGATCACCCATCAAAATTTTTTTAGGCTTCTTCGTATCGACTTTGGTATTTTAATGACTGATCTCATCTTCTAATCTTAGTTCTCCTTTTGTGTTCATTCATATCATTTTTGGGATTCCATAACCTTTGCTAGCTTTGAATCACGATAAGGATCCTTTAGATAACTCTTTTTTGTTTACTCGTCATTTTATTAATTTTTTTCATCTCTTTTTCTTTTTGCCCCCATTGTTCTAGAATAATTGTTAAGGTTCTTCTAGATTTTTTGTGAACTAAATCCTTAATTTTTAGGAGAACATCATCGATTTCATGCATTTCTCAATTACCCCCAATGTAAGGGGTGATCCTAATCTCGATTATTATTGAAAAAAATTATCAAAGGCTTAAAGTGGGACGATAAGAGGTAAATTTTGTTTAGAAAGGATATACAAAAAATGACTTTTCTTCATCTTTAGTCCGACTCACTCAAGTTGATAGGCTTTAATTTCATTTTTATGAAGAAGAAACGATAGATTAAATGGTATCATTACCCGAATGTGCACCACTTATCATCATTTAAGATATCAAATCATTTGGCTTTTTGTTTAGGGCATCATTATGTTATCCTAGGCAAGGCTATCTTAAAAAGGCTCATATAGAAAAGACATTTTTGGTTTTGATAAAAGGAGTTGCCCTTGGTATTTACATGACATGTTTTTTAAAGTCGATCACTTTTGAAATATGTCAAATGCATTCATCATTTTACTTCTTTCGACTTGGATGGTATAAAATGTTGAATGATACTTTTAAATAAACATCTCTCGGCTTTAAATTAATAATAAACCATGCTGAGATAGTAGAAACTTCTTTTTTATTCAAAGAAACGACTCAATCCATAAAAATCACAATACTTTTCTTTATCTAATGTCATTAGAGGTAGGCCAATAGTCTTTTTAGTATAATCATTTGGTGCTTTTAAGATATGATCATGTTGGATATTTCAAAGAGAGAATACAAATAAGATGTATGAAAAGAAGCGGACATAGATGAAAAAAACTTACATGACCCCATAAAATAACATTATGTATGATAAAAAGTTTGACACAATGTACCTATGAGCTAAAATGACAGAAAGGCAAAGATAATCATAATAAGAGAACCATTCGAGTTTTGAAAATAATAGGCACTTCTTCATCAAACCAATTGCTCGGCTCCTCTCCCCGATTGATTTTGTGTCATCCAATTATAGTATGCTTACTCTTTCAGTAGTGGCATGATTTAATAAAGGACTGGAATTAGTGTTTGGGAAATTTGAGGAATCTTTAAATGCAATCAAGCCTTGATAAATCAAATTTTACACCCTTTTCTTAAAGCTCACATAATTCTCAATATTATGACCATTGGTGCCACTATGGTATACACAAACTTCATTAGGTTTGTACCAATAAGGGAATGACGACCGAAGTGGCATGAGTTTCATAGGAGCTATTTGTTCGATATTTACCGAGTGCTCGAAGAGATTACCAAGAGATATGAGAAGCGATGACAATATATCGTTGAATTACCCCTTATCGGTATTCCTTGGAAGTTTTGATTGGTTGATCTTGGTTGGTTGGTGAATTGTTATGGGCTTTGATAATTTGTTTAGGGTTGACATTGAGGTAAGGTAGGTGTTTAGGCAATTTGGTAAAGATTATTTGGTGTTTGATAAGGATTATGTGGCATTTGGTATCGTGGAAAGGTTGGTGTTTGGGTCGTCAATCCAGCCTATATTGGTCGGATTTGCATTTGTGGGAATTATGAATTGGGTAGTTAGGTTGGGTATATTATTTTGAGGGATAAACCAACCGTTATTCCTCTAAAAGTTGTTCCATTACCATTTAGAAATGAAAAAAGATCCTCTAATTTGATGTACCTCTAGGTCTTTTCTCTTATTAAAATTACTTTTCTTATATCTCGAATTCTAAAGGATTGGTTATCCTTTCGACTTGATGGCTTGTATCAATCTAATTTGCAATGGACACTATCTTAACAAAGTTGTTTGACCCATTCATTAGTAGATAGTCGTAATGTGGATCCTTGAAAGTGTTGACGAAGAGAGTAACCAATTCTCTCTCGAAGGAGAGGACTAATGTGATAAGCTATTTCTCGCCATCATTGAGCATACTCCCCGACGTGACTCTATTGGGCCTTTTTTCATAGATTGTAGACTAGATCTATCAAGTGATATCTCCAGATTGAGCTTGCACTACCTCATGAATATATCCACCAAATTCTTTCACCTTTTAATCTTTGTTTGGTCTAGGTTAATAAACCGAGCTTAAAGTAGACCCATCAAGAGTCTTTAGAAAGAAATGGATCAATAGCTTTTCGTTATATGCTACCTTAGCCATCTTGTTTAGATAGATCCTTAAGTAGGTCCTAAGACATTGACTCCCGGTGTACTTGGTAAGTTCCGACACCTTAAACTTTTGAGGAATCACCACATTCAGCATTAGACATTTATCTACACTAAGGAGGGGATCATACATATCTGCAGCTTTGATAACTCTCAAGCATTCATCAATGGCTATGAGCTTTTCATTTTCGAGTTCGAAGTTATCTTTTCCTTGACTAGCTCTTTAGTGACAAAATCAATAGTTGCTACCATCGGTGCTTAGATAATTCAAGGCAACATAAGAGTAGGGCTTAAAGGTTTAGGGGTAAACTCATACGTTCCCCCTAAGTGTAGGATAGTTAGCATGATTAGTAGTATCGGTAGACTATAAATAAGGCATACCAAGAGGTGGTACTCGAGCGATAGTCCGAGTGATTGGTGATGACATGGTAGTGAGCACTCCTAGGAAATCTAATGACTAGCCTACTCCTCTTTGGATGATAATTTCTTAAAACATACAATTTTACCGACTTTATTCCAATAAAGTAGTAAGCCTCTCAAGCTATTCCTTTAGCATCTACCTCCTTCTATGATTTTGCTCAAGCAAAACCCTTTTTTTCATTTTTCATCTTTTTTCTTACTTTGGTGTGGTGAATGCACAAGAGAAGTGCAGTTTTGACAAGTCGATCTATGTTTCGCTTAGAAAAAAGAAAACAAATACAAGATATAGACAATATATTAAAAATAAAAAAACATTCGGGATCGAATATGGAATAACTTTCATGTAGGGATGATAAAAGGATCCAATCATCGATTCTTTAACATTTTAAAATTATCCAAAATTGGTTTACGGATGAAATTAGGTTTTAGTAGTAACCCGTGAAATATTCCGATTGAGCTTCAAAACCCCTTTGGTATTCGGACATTGTAGAAATTGAACTTTAATCCTCTTATCACCCATCCCGAAACATCGTGATCGAATTACTCGCTTAAGGTTTCAATACATCCGACTTGCCTAGTGAATTTACCAATGATTGATGATCCTAAAATTTCTAAGTCCTTATGTGAATGGGATAAGGTTTATCTAAGTCTCAAATTGGGTCTCTTAAAGCTCGATGAATCATAATAGAATCATTGGGGCCATTTAAGGTGATGATTAGTAAGTTTGAAAAATTATCGGTTACCCATCGTTCGATAGCGACTAATAAGAAGAGTTGAGATTTCGTGAGTGTTTACTTGGGATGAAATCCATAAAGGCACCACTACTACCTCCCTAATTCCTAAAGGAAGTGTGTGATAAACATGAAGAGTAATGATGAGTGTAGTATCTGCATGAGTATAGTGTGCATAGGCATTATTCCATATCTAGTCCTAAAAAATAAAAATAAAGACACAAACAATAGTATAATAATAATAATAATAATAAAGCGAGAACAAAAATACAAGGCAACCAATGGAAAAAGACATGAATTTAAATAAGGTAGGCAAATTACACAAATTGACTACGAGCATAAAAATTCCTCATACTATCGAAATCAAATTCAAAAATTACATGTAAAGCTTAACCCTAAGTATGCTCCCTAGGGGAGTCGTCATTCCGTTGCTAGGTGACGTGGGTGGCGAGGATAATGTGTTGAGCCAAAATAGGAAAAATGAAAAAAAAAGGATTGGAGCCACCCCTTAATATTACGGTTACTAGGAAATCCTATGATTGATCTATTTAGAGTTCCGGATAAGGGATTTATTACGTGTAGGAAAGATTAAAATCACCCTACCTTATCCCGCCTAAGGCAAGCTACATTGCATACGACATTGATTTGATCTCCGATTTTTTAATGATGAAAGACTATACTTATTTTTCAAGTATTTGCCCATCAATCGAGTGATTTAGGATTTGGCCGATCAAGGACCTCATCCTCACTCTATAATGAATGGCTAAAAATGAAAAAGGCATGATGAATGTAACGTTATGTGGTTAATGCAACCTAAATGGCACATGTGAAAATGAGGGTTAAAAATAAGCAAAGAGGCAAACATACAAAATAAATGGATTGGTAAAATAGAGAAATAAGCAAAATAGCAAAATAAGCAACTATCGACAAAATAAGCAAATAGGAAAAATTGACAAATCGGAAAATCGATAAATCGACAGATAGGCAAAAAGGCAAAATCGACAAATAGGCAATTAGGCAAAATCGACAAAATTGATAAAATCGACAAATAGACAATTAGACAAAATCAACAAAATTAGCAAAATTGACAAATTGGCATATAGATGAATGATAAAATAGGTAAAAGTTGACAAGTTGACAAATTGACAAATAGGCAATTTAAAAAAATAGGCAAAATCGATAAAATTGGCAAATAGGCTATAAAAAAAAGTAGAAATGGAAAAATTAGAAAAAGTAATGAAATTGATAAAAATCATGAAAGTTGACAAAAATGATCCGAAAGCAAGATTAAGACAAATAGGACTTCAAAAGTTGTGATTTTCAATCGAAATCAGCAAAATCATTAGAATTGACAAAAATGAATCGAAAAATAGATTCGGATTGACATGCCTCGAATATCATGATTTTTAAGCAAAATCAACACAACATCAACTTAATTCTCACAATGTGTAGTAACGATCCAAAACGAGGCTCGGACCCACATGGCTAAGAAATCATATTTTTTTAAGACAAATCAACAAAATATTAAGTAACCATTGTAATGGACTAAAATGATTCTAAAACGAAATTCAAATTGATGACAAACAAGAATCACATTTTTAACGAATTGGTGACAATTGGAACACTAATCAATATTTGACAATAATGACTCAAACAATGAAATTCGAACTAGCATGATCCGAAATGGTATTTTTTAAAATAAATTTAACACGTGAATAGTTTGACGTGACCATAAAAAAAAGGCCAAGAATATGGTTTGAACCGACTCGAAGCAAAAATAAAATATTTTAAGACAAATTGGCACAATTAGTTAATTGTCACAATTGATCATAAGTAGTCCTAAATCGAGATTCGAAGCCGATTGCATCTTAAAAAAATCACACAAGTAACAACAAACATTTGACCACATCAGCAAGCATAAACATCAACTAAGCTAACAAAAATGCAACAACGAGTTTAGTTAAACCGGATACATAGCAAAGTTTAATCAAATCATATATAAGTAACCATATAATTAATTTACTCATGCAATAACAATTTAATTAATTTACAAAAACATCAAAATGAATTAATTAATTTACAAACACAACGAGCAAGAATTGAATTTAATACATATAAAAATAAAATAAAATAGAATAAAAGATAAAAATAGATTACCGTAATAAAGGTAGAATTCGATTATTGAATTTGGGATCGGCTTCGACTTTTTTTAACCTTGATGGAGACTAATATTCGATCAATTGGGGAGGAGAGACGACTATCCATTGTCGGATCTAGATTTGATATGATATGGGATGGTTGCTAGTGATTGGATCGGATGATGGTGGCATTGAACCGAGGCTAATCACGATAAGAGGCTATGGGTGAAGGGTTGTTAAACAATTGAATAGCTAGGAGCAAGTGGCTATGAGATCCGAAGTAGCCGGTGGTTGACATCGGTGGTAGCCAAATGCGAAATGGCTTCGGCATAGCTAGAGACGTCGAGACTATGGGATCGGAGATGGGGGGTTGCTTGACGATGGGAGATTGATCGCTAGACGTCAACGATAGTGTCTTTGGTGGCAATCGATCGGTGGCTAGAACGGTCCATCGATGGCGTGGGGTACTATTGATCGACGTGGAGGAGCCGTCCGTGATTATCGGGGAGGAAGACAATCAATCGGAGTTTATAGAGAGAGAGAGAAAGGGAGCTCGGATATCAATTATTAAATAGAGGTTAGCTGGTCAAAATTTGATTTTAATGGGTGAAAGTGGTCGTCGATTTTGGGAGAGAGAAAGTGGCTGGAATTTTTGGAGAAAAGTGGGTTTTTATACTAGGTTTTTAAGGTTTTTTGGCTACAATTTGGTTTGGTCCCTCATCTCGCCAACTTGCTTTATTTTGGTCCTTTATTCTTTCATTTTTAATTGCATCCCTCAATTGTATTTTTTCAATCCTTTTTCTTTCTTTTTTATTTTTATTTTTTGGATTTTTGGAAAAATTTTAGATGCTAACGAGAGGGAGTTGAGAATCCTCTAGAGAGAAAACTAAGAACCGACAATATCTCTTATGTGTGTCTATATATATATATATATATATATATATATATATATATATATATATATAAATGTTTCTACTCTTCTTATTATTGTAAAAATTTCTTATTTGATACTTAAATGATTGCATTCTGCTTTATTACAAGCTTCAAGTACAAGACTTGCAAAGTTCTTCTAGTGCTCTTACTTTTAAAAACGCACTCCAATATTCATGGATAGTGCCTATTACTAAAATTAAATCTTCCTTTTTACGGCAAGGGTTAAAATAGGTAAATTGGTACATAATTTTCTAAGATTATTAACCAATGCAGAGTCATAGGGATTCCATATATGTTTAACTCACTTCTTTTTTAATTTTTATTGTAATGATATTCTTAAATTTGCTAAATCAAAAGTATAGGTAAGACATCCTAAAAACTTTTTCTAATTGTTTCTTATATTCTATAATTTCTTTAAAAATTTCAATTTTTTCTCAAATATGTTGTTTTTTTTCTAATTAATACAATTCTTCATGCTTCTATTTGTAGTCCAAATAATTTCATTTTTAATTTGTTCAACATATATACATTTATTTTTTTGTACTATTATTCCATGCTCTACTCGTCATTTTGTAATTATGTTGCTCTAGTATTTTTGCAAAAGCTAAAATATCATCTATTTATACCAGAAAAAAATATATATATCCGGGAAAATATCATCCATTCTTCTTTAGAATATTTGAGAATCATTTTTTAATAATAAAAAAGACTATCTATTCATAATGCCTTTGTAGAACACAAAAACTTATTAAAAAAATGCTTTATTTAACCATCTTAATCTATCAATATCGGCTCTTACACCCATTTACGGGGTGTGACGCTCTATATTCTAATTATTTATTTATTTATTTTTATTAGGGATACAGAGGTCATCGAAAACTGTTGTTCATCAAGCTTTATACAATTGATAATCAGCTTTGCCCATTTTTCTTCTACATGATAAGGATAAGAATGTAAGTACACACTTTTACTACTAAGGACCTAAATTTGTATTTTAACCTTCAGTATTCATTGAAAATTAGTGTGAATGTTCATGTTGAATTATTATAAACACTCAGTATTCTGATTCTCTTAACTTTTATTTACAATCTTGTAATGACATAGCAAAATATTAACGAAATGAAAAACTTCACCAAATTTCACCCCACGAATAGCGAACCAAATTCGTGTTATTTGTTGATCATGTGGTACAAGTCTATGAGCCTCACAAGCTAAATGATTGGTACATGTTAGTGAACTTATCCAATATATATATATATATATATACAAAAAGCACATAAAATATAAAGTTAAAAATAGACTAGTCATTTTAAGATTTAAATTTTTTTAGATAGAATTTAAAGTCTAACTATCAAACTCAAAGGACTTACTAGTAAGACCAGCCAGTCTCCTTCCTCTTATCCCCACTTCTTTTTCCTTCAATTCTAGCAGACGTGGTGGTTCATGGCAGCTAATGGTTTTTTCATTGACAATTTATAACAATTTTTTCTATGCTCCAAACTGGCATGTATTCTTACAATCCTACTTGAAGACCTTTACTTCAAACCATAACCCAAAGGTCGTGGTATTTTAGGGCCTCCTCCCTCAACCCCAATTAACCACTCTCATGTGCTTCACAGTTCACACTCTTTGCCAAATTTAACCATTTTTGCCATAACGCTGGCTTCTATCCTACTCGTTGTCATTCCTCTTTTACTGACACCACTATTGCACAAGGGAGATGGCATCTTAGGGGTAATCATTGGATTTTGATTTTTTTTTTAATTTTTAGTTAATCCAATTAATTAAAATCAAAATCAAAATCAAATCAAATTGAAATATAATTTTTCAATTGAAAAAAATAAAATTTCTAGTTTGGTGTTTCGATTAAAAACTAGTTTTTTTTCCTTCTTCTTTGAATCTCAGCCCTATGTTGACTACCTCCCCCAACCCAATCCATACGCTTGCCCCTTCACAACCTACTGCCACTAATACACAAAACATAATCCATAAATCATAAATTAATTTATTGATCAAAATTGATTGCATTTCATTCTTTAAAATTGAAAATTGAAAATTTAATTAGAAATGAAATTTATGGTATGAAAAAAAAAACTAAATTATCTCAAAAATTCAACAAAAAGGCTAAATTATAAACAAATATGAAAATATGAAGACTTTATTGATTTTGTTAACACGAAAGTATTAACTAATTATTCTATTAAAGTTAGACTCAATAATGATATATGTTTTTAAATAATAAACGACTAACTAATTATTTTACATTAAAATAAACTAATTATTTCGCTAGAAGTACAAAATTAAATAATATAATAATTAACTGAAGCAAACAATTTCCAAAGCATTCCTTGTGTCAGTGAAAAAAATATACTCACTTGACCGTCCACCACCGTTTCTTCTTTTTCTTCTTCGGCACATTCATTAGAAAGTCAACAATTTGAATTTCCACATGGCAGATTTTTGGCATGCTCATTCAATGTGGTGCAGCAGCTGTGGACCCCACAACTCGAATCCTCTCCTTATCATATCTGACAAATATATGTAAAGAGTTGTTGAATTCAGAATGCCAAAATTAAGATAGTAAGGGACTAACCAGCTATTTCACATATCTAGGTTTTGGTGGAAAACAATTTTTTTTTTAAAAAAAAAAATCAAACCAAACTAAAATAATTTCGGTTTTCAGTTTTATTTTTTTTTCAAATTTTTAGTACAAAATCGAATCAAAATTACTAATTTAATTTAGTTCAGTTTGGTTTTTGGTTTTAATTAAATAGTACTCATCCCTAATTACGGGTATGTGTTTAATTATAGATTTAACATGGGTAATATGGTGTTCATGTAAGACTTGAAAATTCTTAGTTTTAGACTAAGTGACTCATTGTTGGATTAAATTTAATTGATGAATTATTCATGGCTATTTTGAATTGAGATTAGTTTAATTGTGTTGGTTGACTTTGAATTGATTTGGCTTTGGCTTGTTGATTTGGTGATGGTATTGTTGCTTGATATAATTTGACCTTAACTTTTGGAACAAATGGTTGTGGTTTACTTATGGATACTTGAATTGGTTTAGACAATTAATTGATGATGGTGGATGATTTGGCTACGTGGTGTTTTACTTTAGGTCACTTGAATTGGGATGATTTAACTTGTTAAATGAATTTGGATAGACTAAATGATTTAGTATTTGTTTATTGGTTGATGAGTATTATTATTACTTGGTTTTGATTAATGAATTGCTTGGAGGAAAGCATGGGGATTCGATCATGCTTGTTTAATGAATGATTTTGTGTATTAAGTAAATTGAATAGTTGAGAAATGTTGTTGTGGTTTAAATCAAGTTTGTTAAATTGAATGGTTTGAAGACAATTGATAGTCTTAGCTTTGGCTTATGCTTGTTGGATTTGTTGTTAAGAGGATGGATTGTGTTGATGATAATTTATTGTGTTATTGTTGCTTGGTGGGTTCGGCTTGTTTGTAGGACATGGCTTGTTTATGGTTGCTTGGCTTGATTGGTTGAATAATACGAGTGTTATGTTGATGACAGATGATTCGTCCTAGGTAGGTTTAATGGAAGGTTGTATGTTTGTTCTTATGATGGATTCAGCCTATGGCCATAAAAATGCTTAATATTGTTATGGCTTTATAAAATTCAAATTTGGTGATTAATTAAGGTTGTTTGGATTAGTGCTTGAATGTTGAGTTAGGCATGATGTTATTCAGCCATGTGATGTCTTGGACTATGTTCATGGATGGCTTAATGTTGTTTAGGATGTGTTCTTATTGTTTAAAGGCTTAATGTTTCGACCTTGTTATGTCATGTGAAATGTATTCATGAATGGCTTAAAGCCATATAGTCCATGTTCATGTTCATGTTTATTCTTGATATTGTATTCTAATTGCATTCACACCATAAAATGTTTTATGTTATGATTTCAAGCATTCAAGAAATGACATATACATTGTTTTATGAGGGCACGGATCATGGTTAGACATGTTCAAGAGGCATAAATGGGAATCATCAACCCTTTATGAGGTTCATTAAATCGACCACGTCTAAAGCTTTTATGCATTTTATGATGATGGTTTTTAAAAAGGGCTAAATTTATGTACATTCAGTTAGGTATGCCTAAAAGATAGAAAAGAATTTCAAATATGAAAAATAATGGATTTCATTGCATTCATGTAATTATTTTTTCTTGTGGTGTATATGAGCAAAGTAATGCCTTAGGTTCGATTAGATGCATTAAGGATGCTAGTCGTAAGTTATAAGGTTTGCCAAATATGAGCAAAGTATATATATATATATATATATATATATATATATATATATATATATATATATATATATATATGTGTGTGTGTGTGTGTGTGTGTGTTGATGAGATTAAAGGATAATGAAATATTTATGTTAATTTTGGATTTGTTGCTAAGCTAAGTTAAATATGGATGCATTGAGGTTTATTGAATGGATTTAGGTTTCATTTATGCTTATGTTGATTTCAATCCAAGAATGGAAATGACATTATATAGGATATTTATGTATGGGAAATGAAATGGTATACGATATTTATATATGGTTTAGGTTGTGAAAAATTTATTAGCCATAAATATTAAAGTTTAGAAAGCCTTTAGCTTTAAACCAAATAAGGAAATTCCATTGTTCATTAAGATAGAGATCTAGGGAAGATGAAACAATGTATTTCCTTACACCTTTAGGTGTGAGATAGTGTAGTAGCACTCTTGGCTCCTTATTAGGCCATGGGCATTACAAGTTGTCCAACTAGATCCCTAATAATGTCCTTCCTTGATCAATTCAAATGAAGAAATTTCTCAAGCAAACTATATGGGCATGATATCTCATTTCTCATGGAACTCATTTCTTTTTTAAGGTTATATTCATCTTGAATTCTACTCTAGTTGTCCACTTCAAATTGGTTTAGGTAGAAAAATTGAGCTCTTGTCAAGTTTGATCTACATTTTTTTATTCCTACAAAACCTTAAAAGATTATGCAATAATAAAAATTTGCAAAAATAAAGCATAAAAAGCTGGAACTTGATAGGAATAGCCTTTTAAATGATGGAAGATGAGAATAAGCAATCATGTAGACCTTTTTTTTTTTTATCTATTTTTCTTGAGGATTATTTAAGCCATGAACTAAAGTATATTGAAGATCCTCGTGACTTTTTAGATGTCCAAAGTTCAACAAGCATTGGTTAATTAAAATGTAGATCAAATTCGGAGCATCTTGCCTTTCTAACCTTTGTTATTCTTAAGTTGGCTTATATAAACAAGATCGTTAAGGGACTCATCCATCATAACATTTGTTATAGAGAAGATTTATTATAAAGAAATATCTAATTTTGAACGATTATGCCGAGACTAATAACTTGGGACTTTTCTCTCATTTGTTCTCATCATTCATCATGAAAATCCTACAATAGGCTTGCCAAAAGTGTTCTTAATTGAGAAAGGTCCTAAGTCTAATTTTAAGGTATTAAATGAATGGGTTGGTCTAACTAAGTCTCAATAAAGGTCTTTTCTAACTTAGAAAACCATAAAAGAAAATTGAGGCTAACCATGCGTGAATGTGGTGACTATAAAAACCGTTAGTTACCTATCACAACAATGGTAGCTATCTAAAAGAGTTAAGGTGTTGTGAATGTTTACATAATGCAAAACCCATTGGGACATCATTATTTGCCCTCTATCTTGTGGTAAGTAGGAGTGACCATAGTCTCGGTGATGTGGGTGAATGCATGTAAATTCATATTCAATCTTGAAGGGGAAAAAAAAACAAAACGAAAAGAGGAGAAAAAGAGATAATATGAGTAAAAGCATTTATAACAAAGATCAAACAAGCATACCAAGACAAATATATCACACAATCAAAGAAGATAAAGCAATCAATACATATAAGAAGCAATAAAAGCAAATAAAGCAAACAACACACCCAAAAGTCAATCAAATAGGCCTAGATGATGCAACATATAACTAGATAAGATGTTTTTGAAATGTATACAAACCTTAACCTTATACTCCTTATCGGAGTCGCCATAATATCTCAAAGGACATTAAATGACAAGCTTAGATAGAGAAATGATGAGAAAAAAGAGTCATTACCTAGTATTAAGATAAATAGAAAATCTAAATGACTAGTCTATATAGAGATCAATTGTAAAGGGTTGATTGTATGAAGAATATATAAAAATCAAGTTAAATGTCCTACTTCGATTAATTGCATCACATGATATCCTAATATTCACTTCTAGTCTTTAATTAAGATGAATGGTCTATACTTATTAGGGAGTTTTAGTTATTAAGTCAAAAAGTAATCAATCCTAAAAGGCATGTTATTTGGGAGTTGCATTTGTAAAAGACCCAAAGCATTCTTAAATATTCTACGTGAGGTAAATTGCATTGCATGCTATCCTAAATGTTCATTTCTATTCTTTAATTATGCAAAATTGTTCATACCTATATGGATGTGTTTATTATTAAGTAAAGAACAAATCACTCATAAAAAGAAAGTTATTCAGAATTTGGGCTAGCAAAAGGCTCTATCTCACTTTGAAGAAAATGAGTATCGAAGCAAAAAATAAAAATAAAAAATAAAAAATAAAAAAAATTTAAAAAAGGGATTAAATTTGATCAATTACAACGATTCAAAAGTTCTCACTCCCATTCAATAAGTCTATGTCTAATCGTAAAGACCCGGTCCTAGTATGCTCATGTATGAGCTAAAAGAAAAAGAAAAAAAGGTATAAGGAAAAAGAAGAAAGGCACTTAATCCCATAGCAGACTCTAAGTCCTAGTATGCTTATGTGTGTGCATGTTTGCAAATGAAAAACATACGTACCTAAGGATGATAAAAAGGCATCTCAAACAAAATAATAAGTTTAAAAGAATAATTTTTACATTGTTAAATTTTATTAAATAAGAAAAATACAATAAAAATTAAGATTAGTTTTCCCTCAATGGTTGACAAATTAGAAAAATTAGAACTAAGGACCTAAGTCAACAGGTATGACCATAGCATCTTGAACAAAGAAATCTAGGTAAGCATTCCACAGCAGAAGAAAAAGGTTAATACATCAATTATAATCTAAAGGAAATATACATATGCTCACATCCAACATTTATTAATTGTCTCACAATCATATTTACTAAGAATCCTAAATTATTCAAGTATGAATCAAATAAACATACATATGGAAAACCCATCTTTAGAAAAATGATGGCCTCAAGACTCGAGATTAGGTTGGCGGTGGTTAGAATATAGTCTCGCTAAAGAAAAGCTTAATTGTTATTTAATTTAGCCTTCAATAGAAAGTTGAAGTAGTTTAGCCTAAAATAATCTAGTTTTTTCAATTCAAATATGATCATCTAAACTTGGATGTCATGGCACGATCCTAACAATCAAGGATCATCTTTAATTCATTATAAATACCAATATCATATGATTA